ATGATCTCCCAGATGCTTGCCTGGGATAATAAGTGCTACCGGATGTAAAGTTTAGTGAATTAAACCGTAGGAAATACACCTGATGAATTTGGTTTTATTTGGAAAAAAAAAATCAGTATAAAGATCGTAAGTCTGGCTTAAATGCATACATTCAAATCAAAACAATTCTAAGGCAAACTGAAACTTGGCTCTTCACTTTCCCCCATCACTGCACATTTCAGTGCTCCCTCCACATTGTAGGTGTTTCAGGGGGTCACCAGAAAAGCCCAAGTAGACTTAGATAGAGGAGAGATTTGGAGTTATCTTTGACTTTTATGGACCTTTTTTATTAAAATGCTTAGAGCTGTAAATGTAGAAATAAGAAACTCATTTATCTTGGCAAAAGTGCTGCCATAAACTATTCAGCACTCATAAAATAACCTTTTAAATTATTGTTTCTGCTGGTATCGATAAATTCATACAAAGTGCTTAAAGGTCAGGCATTGCCAGAAAAATGTCTTTTCAGCTTGTTAATTAAAGGTTTATAAGAATGTGCACCAGCTTGCTCTTTGGGCAAATTGGAAAAAAAGGAAGGAGAAAAAAAAAGGCCCACATGGATGAAAATGATAGTATGGAATCAGTGAGTGACAAGTGTTTGATCCACCAGGCTCACCATGGCAAGCCTGGACAGTTTGTGAATGAAAATAGGTGGCACTGTTAACAGGAGGAAAAAAAGTTTATTTCCCTTTTTTGGGGGGAGGTACCTTGATTACTCACCTCTTGCAGCCCATGAGCTTGAGCTGAGGACCCAGCTAGAACTGAAGTATTAAGGTGAGCGTGAGCAGTATTTGTCCTGTTATAGCTTGAGCCATGGGGAGTTAGTCCAGTTCTCATTGCCTGGCCAAGAATATCAGATAAGGACGTTTACTTTTTTGTTTGCCAGGCAAGTGGTTTTATCTGCTCGTTTATTTACCACTTAAACTGGAACAAAGCACTGCTCTGAAATGCACTGAAAAATGTACCCAGAGCCAAACTGCCCAACCATCCGTTCTAGCACCTGCACCTCCTTTACTGCAGGGACCACAACTGCGATTCCCTCTGGTTTATACTTCACCTCTTTCACCCGTCATCGTGGAGACATCCTGGTCTGATCATTAAAATCTGACCTAAAATTGGGGGGGGGGGGGGGGGACATATTATTTTTTATAA